GGGATCTGGTGTTCAGAACACTATATACATAATAAATAAATTTAAAAAAATAAAAATAATAAATTATAAAAGAGTTGTCAATTACATAGTCAATAAAAATTATTTTAAAAAAAATGCTGGGCGGTGGTGGCGCACGCCTTTAATTCCAGCACTAGGAAGGAAGAGGTAGACGGATCTCTTTGAGTTCGAGGCCAGCCTGGTCCATAAGAGCTAGTTCCAGAACACGTTCTCGAAAAACCAATAAATAAATAAATAAATATTAAAGAGAGAGAGAGAGAGAGAGAGAGAGAGAGAGAGAGAAAGGGGAGAGGTGCACACCTTTAATCCTAGCACTGGGAAGGCAGAAGCAATAGGATCGTTGTGAGTTCGAGGTCAGCCTGGTCTACAAAATGAGTTCCAGGACAGTCAAAAATCCTGTTTCAAAGCAGGGGGGCGCAGAGGACCATCCAAATCACAAGTTCACTTTCCAGTGCCCGATGTGATCTCCGCTGACACTAGGATAAGCCAGTAAGAGAGTCTCTTGAGTTCACAAACTCAGAAGAGAGATGAGATGACAGGATACTGTGAACACTGACAGAGCAGTTTCTCACTTGTGTCTGAGATGCCCCATTATGTCTAGCCTTTAAAAGAAAATTGCGTAGTGTTTAACAGTCACTTTGCTCACTCAACTGCAAAGACTGGTCCCTACATACCTCTTCTAGGAAGCCTTTACCGACTACCCCTTAAAGAGGAGCTGCTGCGTATGCAAAGCTGCAGCAAACGGCAGGCAGTTTTGGAGACACCAGAGACAGGTAAATAAAATAAAACAACTGCATACGCTCAGAGACAGAGGGAGGGGTCCTCTCTCAGTGAAGAGTTTACATAATGTGTCAAAACCTGCAGACCTGTCAAAAAAGACAAGACTTGAGCGGGTTCCCCATCATCTCTACTTTGCAACAGCCCCACAGTAATCGGGTACATAACAAACAAATCTACGCACGCTCACCCTAGGCTTTTCTACCCACGTCTACTAAAACACAGAAAAGACGGGAGAGAAAATAAAAACAACCAAACAAAATAAAACCCTAGCCTCACACTTCTGAGTCCAAAGTATGGAGTAACCAAACCGAGCAGGGGACTTTTTCTTCCCGTGAAGGAGGAAGGAGAGCAAGGTAGCTGCCTCGAATGTGCGCCTCGCCCAGCAGAGCAATGACAAGCTCCAAACTGCACGATGGCCCCAGCAGCTTCCTCGCGGCCCGTCCCAGCGCGTCCCCGGCGCCGGCCTCTCACAAAGGAGCATCCCCGCATGCGATCGCTCACAAGTGCGCCCGCGTGGGTGCGAGCGAGGACGCGTGACCCCACCCACTGCCGGCTCGGTGGAGGCGCGCGTGCCGCAGGCTTACCTGAACCGGTCCCGCAGCCAGCTTCCTTCCCCGGCCGAATTGCGAGCCGCCGTCCGGGAGAACAACGCGCCTTCCGGCGGAGCACGGCCAGCCCTCGCTGCAGGCAAGCTTGCTAGGCCTCCACGGGGGCCAGCCCACCGTCCTCCGCCCACCAATGGGAGGGCCGGAACGGGCCGCCATCCAGGAAGTCTCCGACGGCTGGGCGGGCCCGAGGCTGAGAAGGGTGCGTAGGCATCCGCAGATTTGCCTGATTGGAAATACAAGTCCCCGGCGGGCTGGCAGCAGCGGCTTCTGACCCCAGCTGCTGGAGGTACCCCAAACCCGGACCGCACCTGCTGCCTGTCTCAGGAGGACGTCTAGGGTTGGCTGGCTCCGTGAACATCTACTACTACTTAAAGGAATCTGTTGGTCCCTTTGGGTCCTGCCCCAACGTACTCTCCCTTCACATACTCATGACACCTATTGGTCAGGGTGACGGACTCTAGGATTAACGTGGAAAACGTGATTGGAAGCAAGCCCTACTATCCTCTCACTTAGATGTAGAAATGATGCTTTTTTATCATTAAAGTCAACAAAATCAAGTTTTTCGAATGACCTATCTGTGACCAGTTCTTGGGGTGATCCCTTATAAACAGGATTATCTACACAGATTACAATTTACATAGCCATTCTACAAGCTTATCTATGCATCTAATAAAGATTTTCCAGTATTGGTTTTTAAGACAGGGTCTCAATGTTGGCCCTGGCTGGTCTGGAACTCGCTATGGAGCCCAGGCTGGCCTCAAAACCAGAGACCAGACTTCCTCTTGCTTCTGAGTACTAGAATTTAAGACCTGTGTCACCATACCCCAAGTCCCCTGTTCTGATTTTAGCAACCCAAAATACTAAGTCATTTAGTAATAATAGGCGCGAGGAATTTCACTTAAAAAACAAAAGACCTGGGCTGGAGCGATGGCTCGGTGATTAAGAGCACTGGCTGCTCTTCCAGAGGTCCTGAGTTCAATTCCCAGCAACCACATGGTGGCTCACAGCCTTCTATAATGAGATCTGGCGCCCTCCTCTGGTTGGCGGGCATACATGGAGGCAGAATGTTGTATACATAATAAATAAATTAATCTTAAAAATAATAGGTTTAAAAAAACAAAACAAAAGAAAAACAAAAGACCAGCCGGGAGGTGGTGGTGCAAGTCTTTAATCCTAACACTTGGGAGGCAGAAGCAGGCAGATCTCAGTGAGTTCGAGGCCAGCCAGGACTGTTACACAGAGAAACCCTGTCTCAAAAAACAAAACAAAACAAAACAAAAAACCAGAAACAAAAAACAAAAACAAAAGACCTAAACCAGGCAGTGGTGGCATTCGCCTTTAATCCCAACACTTGGGAGGCAGAGGCAGACTGATCTCTGTGAGTTAGAGAGGCCAGTCTGGTTTACAAAGTGAGTTCTAAGCTTCAAAGAGAAACCCTGTCTCAAAGAAACAAAACAACCAGCACCAACATCTAAAGGACCTTAAAAAAGTTTACCAATAGTTCCAAACTATTCAAGAATACACACAGTGCAAATAAGTCCTAGAAGAGGGACCATCAACAGGGTCATTTATACTGGAAAGAAGCAAAATTTCATCATAGGTCAAACTGAACTGAGAAAGGTGTTCCTGTATTTTCTAGAGTTCTGTCAACTACATTTTCACACTAGTTTTGGGGTTTGTTTGTTTAAATACCAGTATTGGAAAGTGTCAGAGTGCTGGAGCTGCATGGCAAGACCTACAAAACTTGCTCTTAAAATATTTTTATTATATTTGTAATTATGTGTATATGTACATGCATAAGCGCTGATGCTGGCAGAAAGCAGAGGTGTGGGATCCCCTTGGAGCTGGAGTTACAAGGGGCTATGCAGGACATGGAACTGAACTCTGCTCCTTTGAAGGAGCAGTACATGCTCAACAGCTCAGCCATCTCTCTAGTCTTTCAAAAATCTTTAAAATACATTTTTTTTCAAGAGTCATGGATGGAGTCTTTTCAGTTATTAAGGAAATTTTCCAAACAGTAGCATAATTGCATGGGCATAGAGTTAAGAAATCATGTCAAGCTGGGTGGTGGCGCAGGCCTTTAATCCCAGCACTGGGAAGCAGAGGCAGGAAGATCTCTGTGAGTTGAAGCCAGCCTGGTCTATAGAGTTCTAGGACAGCCAAGACTACACAGAGAAACCCTGACTCGAAAACCAAAAACAAAACAAAACCCAAAAAATCATGTAATATTTTATGAGAAAATAAGAGTTGATCACTAATTGACCTTGTATACTGAATATCTCTTTGTCAAATTCTTTCCTAGCTCTAAATACCACTTTATAAATTTGAAGTATTAGGATTTATGAGAACAATGTCTTCTGTAAATAGTGTTTGTGCAAATGCAAAGAGGTATAACCTCAATTATTAATGGTTTCTATAATAAGAGGCTATCACCATTCTAGCTATTTTCTGGTACAGAATACAAGACCTACCAACAAAGGAAGTCATTGTAAGCATCGTAGCAAAGGGAAAGTGTCTGATTCAATGATTTCTGCTAATTACACTGATTTGTTCCTATAAATTACATGATTTTCAGTGTTGATGGTTTCAAAAGCCAACTGACAGCCAGAGTGTCTCATAATTACCATTTTGCACATGTGGGTGGGAGATGTTTCTGTGTTCATTCATGGTCACTTGACTCAGGTCATGAATTTATAGCCACATTCTTTTCTGTTTCCTTTCAAAATGACATAAAATACCTAACATAGGTTTTAAATTATAATACAATTAGATGTGGGAATTAGGTCTTTTCCCCTTTCTAATGTTCCAACAACACTCAGAATGCTTCCCTTTCACACACTGAGAATAACAGCTGTAGGCAAAATACTGTCTTCAGCCAATTCTCTAATCCTTATGAACTGCTAAAAAATTTTTTTGAAGAGTAAAGAAAAACTTTTGAATAGAAACTACAACATTGATGGATGTGCTGGCACATTCAACACTCGGGAAGCTAATATAGGTGGATCAGGAGTTCTAGGACAGCCTGGGCTATATAGTCTTATTTAAAAAGAAAGAAAGAAAAGAAGAGAGGGAGGGGGAAAGGAAAAAAGAAACATACTAAATTATATACTTTAGTTTTTTGCCTGGTAAGCAAACAGACTAAATCAAACTCAACAACCAACAAATCTTCTTGGAATGAGTAGTATTAAAAAACAAAACACTGGCTGGAGAGAAGGCTCAGAGGTAAGAGCACTGTCTGCCCTTCCAGAGGTCCTAAATTCAACCCCAGCGACCACATGGTGTCTCACAACCATCTGTAATGAGATCTGGTGCCCTCTTCTGGCCTGCAGGCATTCACGTAGAAAAAGTATTGTGTACATAATAAATAAATAAATAAATCTTAAAAAAAAGAAAAACACCAAAAGCATAATCACTTCGATGCCCACATGTCCTCTAAGTTCCTGTGATATAATGTTGACTTTACTGCTACTACCAGGGCTAGAATTCAGTATAAAGCAATTCTGAGAAGGCAGTATGTTTGACGCAATACTCTAGAGAATATTATCTACTTACACTTATGGTATAATCAGAAATGACACATGAAATAGAAGCAGCTTGGATCATGCATATATTTAATAGTAAAACAGTCATTAACAATAAAAAACTAGAAAATTTGGTGAGACCTCAGTGCTGTGAAAGAAAGACAAGTGAAACAAGTAAAAAAGAAAGCAACTGTCCCAGAAGGTGGTGTGCGGAGTAAAGCAGAGGCAATCGCATTACACAGTCTAGGGAGCGGGTGAGTCTGGCTGCAGGCGTCCCTACTGTTTGCGGCACAGAATGGAGGCAGGAGAGGCAGGACAGAAGAGCAACAGAGAACCCAGGATAAGCAGATGGGGAAAACAGATACATTTACAAAGACACAACTCTAAGGCCTTTTGTTTCTTTCAAAGTTTAAAGCCTTAAGCTTTAAAGTATGCCACTCAAATTTCAGATCATAAATTGCACAGGGTAAAGAATGGTGTGATGAATTGGGAATGTCATGGACCCTGCTCTCACAGAGCTTACATCCTATATGAGAGAGAACCCCTCCAAAAAATAAAGCCTACAAAACATATTTACAAGGTAAAACAAATACAAATATATATATATATATATATATATATATATATATATATATATATATAAAATTAACCGAGATAGCAATGCTAAGAGATACTGTGTGAATCATTTCTTAGAACTCTCTAGGCCAGTCACCAAGGATCCCCTAAAGGAGAAAGTCAGCGGAATGTTAGTAGAGGGCAGAGCACATGCAGAGACATAGAAGTTGGAAGAAATATGTCATCTTCAGTAAGCCAATTAGATTGATTAGAGTACAAGTCTAATAGATATGGTTAGGAGTATATCCAGCTACCTGGAAATTGAGGTATCAGGATTCCAAATTTAAGGCCTGCTGTTCAAGGCTAGCCTGGGCAACTTGCCTCAAAACAAAAAAGTAAGAGAAAGCTTCTAAGGGTATATATAGCTCAAGTGGTACAGCACTTACCTAGTATGTTTAAGAACCTAGATTTGATCTCTAGCACACCCCTCTCAAACAACACATACATGCATGCACACACACACACATCAAAACAAAAAATAAGGTAAAAGAAAGAATGATGAAACAGTAGGAATCAATTTGGTGAAATAAACTGTAATGCTAGAACTGGTCTCCTAAACAAAATGAAAAACTAACATTTCTTTAAGTAAACGATGTGGTTACAGGTCCAGCACCAACTCTGCTGCTCTCAAAGTTCTGTAATTAACAACCAGGAACTAGCAATGAAAAGGGCCAGCTAGCCTCGTCTAATCATGAAGCTCCAGGTTCCTGTGAGAGATGCTGTCTCAAAAACCAAGGTGGTGGGCTCCTGCAGAATGGCAATTAAGGTTCTGCACACGCACAATAAATAAAAAGAAACTAGTACCAAGGCACCCAGCTGCTACAGGAACTCTTAGGAAATGACAAGCGGGTTTCCACAACATAGAAATGAACTCAGTGAAATTACTATGTACAGAGTTATCATCCAAATTATCCAGATCCTTAGTACTAAATGTTTGATCAGAATATCCTTCACCCTAGCTACTAAAAATTAGGCAAAGAACAGATATATGCATTTTTTTCTCCTTTCTCTATTTTTTCTTTTTGAGACAGGATGATACTATGTCAGCCGTGTATACTATTAGCCTGGTAATACTTATGTAGCCCAGACTGACTTCAAAGCTCACGGAGATCCTCCTGCCAAAACTCCCGAGTGCTGGGTTACAGGTGTTTGCCACCACACCTAGCAAACACATGTAGATATTTAGTAAGTTGTTTATTTTTTAACTACTGTGACAATCAACTTTGATCCTAACATTTTAGAAATCAGAGGATGAGAGGAGTCCTGATCTATATGGAATACTTGTGTCCCTAACGGAGGGGACAGGTTAGTAAGGGCCCAATTTTCTCCTGTGTTTTAAGTGAAGGGTGAAACATCGCACATTGAAAAGAGCCTGCTCTCAGCCAAAGCAAGTAAGACCTCTTTCTTTAAGCTGATTGATCTGAAGCTGTTCCAGCAAAGGAAAAAAAAAAAAAAAAAAAAAAAAGAGTTCAGGCCGATGTCAGATGCTCAGCAGCAGCCAGAGTCAGGGCCTGTGTCACAAGCGTTCCGCTGCGAGGAACTTGGTCCTGATGATGTTGAAATTGGCTGTTGGGGCCCAATTTTAATGCCATTTGCCTGCAAAAGAAAAAAAGGCAACAATTCTGACATCACTGCTGAAGTGAATGAGAGTAAGGACGGGGATAAAGGAGAAATCTTCAGTTAAACTCTGAGAATCTTGTTCTCACACGGCTGTAGAGAAATCCGGCCATGATGCGAGGCAACCAGAGGTAGCTTTGGGGCTGTTTCCAAGGCGTGCTGTTGCGCATAAATCTCATAGCTGTGTGCAGAATTAAGGAGAGCTAAGAGGGCTGAAGAGATGGCTGAGCAGGGAAAGTACTTGCCATGTAAACATGAGAGCCACAGTTTAGATCCTTACAATCCATATAAGGACCAGAGGGGCATGTCAGCACACCTCAATCCCAGTCCCTCGGGAGGCTAAGACAGAGAATCCCTACAGCAAACTGACTAGCCAGACTAGTCTAAACAGCGAGCTCTGGATTCAGCGAGAGACGGCCTCAATACGTAAGGTGAAGGGCAACGGTGACCGTACCTGCTGCCAACATTAGACCTCCACATGAGCACCTACCCCTTTGCTTACACACACGTGAACATGTATAGATACACATGCACACCATATACACATACTTTCTTTAACGAGTAAGTGAAGCAAAAGAGAAGTGGCATATCAGCATATGATCATTCTTTGTCCTGTCCCAGATCTCCCCCTCCTAAGCAATTACAAATTAGCTCTCTCTCAAATTTTGGAATAGTAGACTACTGAAGTCAAGAAGAAAAAAACTCATGTAAGTCTGTAGACCACCAACTTATCTCTTTCAGCACTGTGGGGCTCAGACTTGAGAGAAAACGAAAGCTGATGATAGGTTCTTAGACAGCTGTGATTGATGGGTCTGACATCAGGCAGGAATGCTGACTTTCTAGGGTACTTCCATCAAGGTAACTGCCAGTTCCAGCCCCAGCCTTTCTTACCTCATTGTGGACATCAAATAAACCCTGCTGGATCTTCCTATATATTTCTTTGGCTGTGTTAATGAAGGCCTGAGGGAGACATAAAACATTTATCAGTCTTAAATTTAAATCAAGAGATGAGAGAAATACAAATATCCCTATTTGGATTCCTTTGGTCAATTAAGGATCTGGGTGTGGTGGTTCATAGCTATTTTAATTTCACCACTGAGGAGACAGAGGTAAGAAGATCACACAAGTCTGAGGCCAGCCTGGTCGACACAGTAAGTTCCAGATCAGCCAGAGCTACCCAGAAACACTCTATCTCAAACTAACCAATTAACGAACTAATTAACTGAAATCTGAGAATAATTAAGAAACAGTAGAAAGCAGTAATATAGAAAATTTCAGCTACTCATGGTGGTAGTATATGCCTTTCATCGCAGCACTACGGAGGCAGAAGGCAGGTGGATCTCTATGTCTTTGAGGCCAGCCTGGTCTATGTAGTAAGTTCTAGGTCAGCCAAGGTTACATAGATCCTGCTTCAAAATACAAAACAAACACTCTTAGCTAGGCAATGGTGGTGCACACCTTTGCTACCAGCACTCAGGTGGCGGAGGCAGAGACAGACACATCTTTGGGTTTGAGGCCAGTCTGGCATACAGAGTGAGTTCCAGGAGAGCCAGGGCCACACAGAGAAACCCAGTCTCAAAAACAAACAAACAGGGCGGGAGAGATGGCTCTGAGGTTATGACTGCTTTTCCAGAGGTCCTGAGTTCAATTTCCAACAACCACGTGGTGGCTCACAACCATCTGTAATGAGAGCTGATGCCCTCTTCAGGTGTGCAGACAAACATGCTGTATATATACATAATAAATACATCTTTGAAAAAACAAACAAACAAAGCATAATTTCCACAAATGTCCTTGTAGAAGTCATTGAGTAGATATGAAATGCATACCTATCATCCCAAAACTCCAGGGACTAACATACTCCATGATTGCAAATTTGAGGCCAGCTTGAGCTATACAGCAAATTTTGGGGTAGTTTGGTCTATATAGCATGACCGTATCTAAAGAAACAAAACCACCACCACAAGAAAGCACATTAAGTACAGTTGTAAAAAGGTGAAGCTACTGTATTCAAGTACTGATGTTCCTAGGTTATAGGTTAGCTCCCAGCACAAATAAAACAACTCAGCCAGGCAATATAGTCAACACCTGCCATCACCATAAGAACAGTTTCTGCCAGATTCCCAACTGAAGTGACTTATAAGTAACAGTGGTATCTAATCCTCAGGCACCAATAAGATTATAAAAAGGCAAAAGTAAACCTTAGAAATTAGGGTGAACGAAAACAGGACAATTCCCCTGGAAGGAGACATCTTGCTTACTCCTATATCCCCTGGAGAAGAGGATTCTTAAGAATAAATACAACAGCAAAGCCTCTGAGCCACTCTCCCCACTTCCCCTGTAGTGATACCTCTTCAACATTGCAGGCTGTCTTGGCTGATGTTTCCATGAATATAAGGCCATGCTCCCGAGCAAAGGCCTCTCCTTCTTCTCTTTTCACATCCCTCCGGGATTCTAGATCACTGTAAGAGATTAATTAGTGAGAACACTTTATAGAGTTTGGTGGGTTTTTTTTTTATTTTGTATTTTTGGGACAGGGGTTTCTCTGTGTATCACTGTAAGAGATTAATTAGGGAGAACACTTTATAAAGTTTTGTGGGGTTTTTTGTTTTGTTTTGTTTTTTTGAGACAGGGTTTCTCTGTGTAACAGTCATGGCTGTCCTGGTACTCGCTTTGTAGACCAGGTTGGCCTCAAAAGCACTGAAATCCACCTGCCTCTGCCTCCCAAGTACTGGGATTAAAGGCGTGCGATACCACCTCCAGGTAAAACTTTAAAGATTTAAGAGAAGGTGGTAACCATAGTTATAAAAGGATCTTATCACAGTTAAAAACTGCCAACTAATTAGGATAATCTTGCATGAGCTTACCGACTTTAGCAGTCTCTTTTGATTTTTTTTTTTTTTGATTTTTGAGACAGGGTTTCTCTGTAGTTTTTGGTGCCTGTCCTGGAACTAGCTCTTGTAGACCAGGCTGGCCTCGAACTCACAGAGATCTACCTGCCTCTGCCTCCCAAGTGCTGGGATTAAAGGCGTGAGCCACCACCGCCCTGCCTTTTAGCAGTCTCTTGGCAGGTATTATTTACCTTCACAATAGCTTCTGCATGGCTGAAGATACTACTGTTCTCTGTTACAAGAACAGGTTTACATAGAAGTGAGCAAACCTCACTCACCCAAGGTACCCTATGTCTTTGTTTGCTTGTTTGTTTTGTGTTTTTTGAGACAGGGGTTTCTCTGGGTAGCCCTGGCTGTTCTAAAACTCATTCTATAGACCAGGTTGGCCTTGAACTCAAAGAAATCTGTCTGACTCTGCCTCCTTAGTGCTGGTGTTCTCGGCCACCCCCAGCTACCCTGTGACTTTTCAAATGGGATCTAGGGCAGCACAGTAGAGATGATAAAGTGAGGTGCTAGTTAGTAGCAGGCTCAAATCGAAGGACTTCTCACCCTGTAATGATGATGCTTTCTTTTCCTAGAATGAACTTATGAGAGATTAATTCAGAAATAAAGAGAACAGTTACCTTAACGCTTACTAGTCTCATTTCTAGTGCGTATAAGGGAGACTTAGCACTTCATAATTAGAGAAAGTGATATGGATAAAATTTAGGTCTAACAGGAAAGAAGAGTCAAAAGCAGAAATGGAGACGAGTACCATGGAAAGGCCATGGAAACTAAATATAAAGCTGATGAAAACAGACTGACCCAACTGGCTTTGATTTTTCAAATGGGAAATTTTGTCTGAGAGATTCTATAGTCTGGCTTTTTAATCATGAAAAAAAAAAAAGAAATCTATTGTGTTAGTTAGAATTACTATTGTTGCTGGGCAGTGGTGATGCACACCTTTAATCCCAGCACTTGGGATGCAGAGGCAGGTGGATCTCTGTGAGTTCAAGGCCAGCCTGGTCTACAGAGGTAGTTTCAGGACAGGATCCAAAGAAACCTTGTCTTGAAAAAAAACAAACAAATGAAAGAATTACTATTGTTGCAAAAGAAACTTGGAGAGTGTTATGCCCAAATGTGCAATCCCTGCAAGCCGACAAGGAAACCAAGAGTCCTGTACGTAAAATCAAAGAGTCTTTATTTTAATCAAGTTTGCAAATTCTTCGCCTGTTCAACGTATTGGAATAACTGGAGAGCCCCAAGCTCAATTAGAATAGGGTTTTATAGTAGTAAAGGTGGGGGTGAGGGGTTTCTGTGGTTTTAAGACTCCTGCTGGCTGACATTCACCCAGGGTTTCCTGGTGACTGGCAGGTGTTTCTATCTACAGTGCTTGGAATGCCAGGAATTTCCTTTGAATGGTCTGTTCTTGGGTGTGGGGGGGTGATCTCAGCTTGTGGTTCCTCCTGCAGCCTGGCAGCATCACAGGTAAACAATTGAGACTCCAGCCTCCATTTAAATTCATTGATGGCCAGAGTCCCAGGTGATAATGGTTGAAAGAAGTAAAGAACTTCCTTTGGGTGATCTGCCCAGACTTAGATTTTCAGGCTGGCCCTCACAGAGAGGAAAGCATTTATTTAACTTAAATTTCCACATCATAGTTCATCATCAAAGGAAGTCAGGATAGGAACTCAAAGCAGGAACCTGGAGGCAGGAGCTGATGCAGAGGTCATGGAAGGGTGTAGCTTACTGGTTTACTCCTCATGGTATGTTCAGCCTGCTTTCTTATAGAACCCAAAACTACCAGCCCAGGGGTGGCCTCACTCACAATGGGCTGGGTCCTCCCCCATCAATCACTAATTAAGAAAATGCCCTGCAGGCTCACCTGCAGCCCAGTTTTACAGAGGCATTTCCTCAACTGGGGCTCCCTCCTCTCCCAACTCCAGCTCAACCATCCTAATGCTGCGACTCTTTAACACAGTTCTTCATCACTGTAAGCTTGCTACGGTTATGAATCATAATGTAAATATTTGGGGAGATAGAAGTTTGCCAAAGCGGTTGTGGCCCACAGGTTGAGAACCGATGCTCTAGCTTGGATCAAGTTGACATAAAACTAGCCAGTACATCTATTAAAGAACATCAAATCAGCTGAGTGATGGTGGCACACACCTTTAATCCCAGCACTTGGGAGGCAGAGGCAGGAGGATCTCTGTGAGTTCAAGACCAGCCTGGTCTACAAGAGCTAGTTCCAGGACAGACTCCAAAGCTACAAAGAAACCATGTCTTGAAAAACCAAAAAAGAAAAAAACCAAAAACAAACAAACAAACAAACAAAAAACACCAAAGAACATCAAATCAACAAAAGGTACCCCCAAATTAACATAAAAAATTCAGCTTCTGCCTTCTATTCCCTTGCAACTATGTCCATCCTGGCTTCCACACACCACAAATGGCACAAGACAAAAAGACAAGGTGTTCAAAGTCTGTACTTGGGAAGCTGAGACAAAAGAATTGTGACTGAAGGCCAGCCTGGGCTACACTGTAAATTCTGTTTCAAAATTGAAAATAAAGCTGGGTGTGATCCACACCCTAAATCCCAGCACTCCGGAGGCATATAGTGACAGTTTATTTATGTTTTAGTAAATAAAGCTTGCCTGAAGATCAGAGGGTAATACTAAGCCACTAGAGGCCAGGCAGTGGGGTCACATACTTTTAATCCCAGGATTTGGGAGAGGGAGGCAGACAGATCTCTGTGAGCTCAAGGCCACCCTGGGTTCTACAAAATCAATGCAGAAACAGATCTTGGTGGTGGCTCACACCTGTAATCTCGCCCAGCCTTGGTAGAGGTTAAGACTTCTCTAGTGGCGTGGTTGTTTTGCTTTTCTGATCTTCAGCTTGAACCCCAATATCTGTATCTGGGTTTTTATTATTAGTGCTACAGAGGCAGTGGCAGGCAGATCTCTGTAAATTCTAGGGTATTTTGGTCTACAGAGCAAATTCCAAGCCAACCAGGGCTACATGGTGTAATTTTATCTCAGAAAATAAAATAATGGTAATAGTAATAATAATTTTCAAAATCAGTATGTAATAGGAAATGAGAGTGGAAGACTCCATTGCTGATTCCCATGCTTTACTATGCATAAAGAAACAGATACACAGGTGAATAGCAACTGTTGCTATTTAAAAACAGAATTTTGCTTTTTGTTTGTTTGTTTTTATTTTTCTTTTGTTTTGTTTTTCAAGACAGAGTTTCTCTGTAGCTTTGGAGTCTGTCCTGGAACTAGCTCTTGTAGTCCATGCTGGCCTCGAACTCACAGAGATCTGCCTGCCTCTGCCTCCCTCGAGTGCTGAGATTAAAGGTGTGCACCACCACCACCCAGCTGTTTTTGTTTTTCAAGACAGGGTTTCTTTGTACACAACCAAGTTCCTTGGTTGTCCAGGAACTCACTCTGTAGATCAAACTGGCTTTGAACTCAGAGATCCACTGCCTCTGCCTCCCAAATGCTGGGATTAAGGAAAGCAGCACCACCACTACCCAGTAAGAATGGAATTTTTTTAAAAAGGAAATATAGTTTTCTTTTAATTTATCCTTACAATTCTTCAAATAGTTGTTACTGAGGAGGCCTAACAACATTAGTGCAACCGTGACAAATTGCAGACTAACAATACAGGGATACTGAGGCCTAGGCTCATCTTTCCAATAACCAGGAAAAACTACAGGGACCTGAAGGGACCAATCAGAATAGAGACAAACAAGCACTTGAAGCTCCAGAACTTTAAGAATAGCTTCCCTAACTTGTACATAGGTTGCCAAGTTCCTTGCTGCAACACCAGTACCAACCTTTGTTTGACAAGACTTCTGTAGCCCCACTCCTGTCCAATCAGGAGTTCAACCCCCATGTGAGTCAGGAATTACCTTACCCCCATCCTTTACTCCTTAAAAACCCTGCCCTAGCTGAGCACAATGCTCTCCCTGATCCAACTGCTGTGTTGGAGCGGAAGGAGAGGCCAAGTCCAAGTTTGCAATAATGGCTCTTTGCTTTTGCATATGAACTCAGACTCCTGGTGGTTTCTGGAAGGCTCATGATGTGGGCATAACAATTACATTATTATTTCGGAGCCCATGGTGTACTTCAGGTGGTAGAATGCTTGGTTAATATGCACAAAGAACTGGTTTCAATCCAGGTATGCAGTGCTTACTCTTAGTAATCCCAGCACTGAGAAGATAACGCAGGAAGATTAGAAGATTAAGATTACCCTTGGCTACGCAGTGTGTTAAGGCCAGCCCACAACACCCGAGGTTCTGTCTCCAGAGAAGTATGTTGTTTTCAATACATTTTACTTATTTATTGTGTGTGTGTGTGTGTGTATGTGTCTACCCGTGTGGGTATACGTGTGACATGGCATATATGTAGAGGTCAAAGGTAATATGTGGGAAAAGTTGGCTCTCTCTTTCTACCATGTATGATCCAGAGATCAAACTTTATGTCATGAAGCTTGGCAGCAAAAGCCATTACCTACTGAACCATCCCAATGACCCAAACAAAATATGTTATTTAGATCTATTTCATTTTTTAAGATTTTTTTAAAAAAATTCTTTGTATGTATGCCACTTGTGTTTGGGTACATACAGAGGCCAGGAGAGGGTGTAAGAGCCCCTACAGCTGGAGTTCCAGGCAATAGTGAGTCACCTAACATGGGTGCTGGGAATAGGAACTCAGGTCCTTAGACAGAACAGCGAGAGTTCTTAACCCCTGAGCTATCTCTCCAGCCTGCAGGCCAGAAGAGGGCACCAGACCTCATTACAGATGGTTGTGAGCCACCATGTGGTTGCTGGGAATTGAACTCAGGACCTTTGGAAGAACAGGCAGTGCTCTTAAGCACTGAGCCATCTCTCCAGCCCCCCTTTAAATTCTTCTTAAAATTTAAACTGTGAATACAAAGTCTTGCCAAAAATATAAATTGGAACCCCTGTGAATTGCTGGCAGGAATGCAAAATGGTGCTGCTGCAGGGGTGGTCCCTCAAACAGTAACACAGAACTACTATACAGTTCAGCAATCTGACGGCTACGCAGCCAAAAGAACTCAGTCTTACTGCGTTCTGAACAGATAAATCTTTCTTCCCATGTTCATGACATCATCAGTCACAACAGTCAAAAAGTGACAGCAGCCCAAGTGTCCACAGAAAGATAGAAGAATGAAATATAATAATAAATACTATAATCCAGAAAAAGGAGGTTCTGATTCATGTTATAATATGCTATAATAGTGCATGAAGACATTATGATAGATAAAGTAAGTCACTTATAAAAACACAAGCATTGTGCAATTCTACTTATGAGGTGCCTAGGAGACCTGTACTTATTCTTTTTTAAAATATATTTATTTATTTATTATGTACACAATATTCAGTCTGCATGTATGCCAACAGGCCAGAAGAGGGCCAGAAGTGGTTGCTGGGAATTGAACTCAGGACCTTTGGAAGAGCAGGCAATGCTCTTAACCTCTGAGCCATCTCTTCAGCCCCCTGTACTTATTCTTTATGTCTTTCACATCATGCACCGCCATCCCAAGTACTTGTATTTATAAAGAAAGAATGTAGGGGCTGGAGAGATGGCTCAAAGGTTAAGAGCACAGGCAGTTCTTCCAGAGGTCTTGAGTTCAATTCCCAGCAACCACATAGTGACTCACAACCATCTGTAATGAGATCTGGCGCCCTCTTCTGGCCTGCAGGGATACAAGCTGGCAGAGTACTGTATACAGAATAAATAAATCTTTTCAAAAAAGAAAGAGAGAGAGAGAAAGAATCTAGAGGCCGGGTGTGATGGCACACTCCTGCAACCCCAGCACTTAGGCCTAGGCTATCTAGTAAGACTGAGGCCAGCCGAAGGTACAGGCCCAGCTTCAACAACAACAAAGGAAAGTAGAAAGATGGTTGGCCGACGGTGAGGAAGACACCGAGGTCACGGCAGATGGCATAATTCAAAGGTTCCAAAGTCTGAGAAAATGACCAAGTTATGAAGGTGGATAATGGTGAGATTTGCAGAACAATTCTAATACGTTCGGGGCTACAGGACACTCCTAGAAGTCGTCAAAATGGTAAATTTTACCATTTTACTATCTTACCATAGTAACATTTTCTTACTAAGATGATATAGTAAGAAAATCTGAGTATCAAGAAATTCAATGTCTGAGCTGGGCAGTGGTGGCGCATGCTTTAATCCCAGCACTTGGGAGGCAGAGGCAGGTGGATCTCATCTACAGAGTGAGTTCCAAGCCAGCCAGGGCTGTTACACGAAAAAAATAAATTCAGTGTCAATCAGATGATACATGCTTACAATCAGGAGGGTCGCAGCAAGTTTTAGGCCAGCCAGGGCTACCAAGTGAGTTCTAGGCCATCTACCACTATTGTGTCTCTAAATCAAAATAAAACAAAATAGAACAAAAGGAAATTCAATATGCACAGAGAATGTCTGGTGCCTCCTAGTAACTAGTATTCATAAAGAGAAAACTTCACCTTTTATTTCCGATCAGCATGATAACCATGTTTGAGCTCGAGTGCTGGCGGGCATCCTCTAACCATGATGTTAGGTGGTTGAAGGTTTCACGTCTACAGCGGAACAATTTAGAATGTTGGTCAGGACCCTGTTTCAAAAAGCCAAAGTTGCTCCAAATACATGAGAGGGGACATTACATGTACAAAGGGCAGCCATGCCCAGGGGCCCCCCGCACCCCCCATGCAGCCGGCCCACTCACCGTGTGATGTCGTACACCAGCAGTGCCCCAGCTGCTCCCCTGTAGTAGGAACGGGTGATAGAACGGAAGGACTCTTGCCCAGCCTTTACCATCAACACAGCAACAAAAAATCCCAGTAAAACTAGGTTATTTCCAGAGACAGAAACTTGCTCACATGCCACCCTAAAACACAGAATTTAACTAAAGAAGGAACTTATGCTAGATTAATAAGAAATTAGAGAGAAACGTGCCTGTCCAGGGAGGAGCCCGAGTGGGCTACTGTTCAACAGAAGTGTGACTGAGAGTGCAGGTAGGTCAGTTACTACTCCTATGAGACTCTCCACCAAACTACAAGATATTCTTACCCTTAGGTCCCAGACACTCAGTGCTACAGTATGACACCAACACCTTATACATTTCCCAATATCCCCTAGAGCAAAACTGGAAAAGGGGTTAAAAACTCAATCCTAAATATGTTGAATATGCTACATTACTTTTCCTGTTCTTATTAATCTATTTGCAAAAAAATGCCTTAGAAGGCCAATACCCTGTCCAGTGGAAGGCATATTGCAACACAGCAATGCAGAAATTCAGATATGAGCAACTGAGTTTATGCTAAGTAGACCTTAGGTTTCTCTGATAACAGCAAGACTACCTGAAAGTTCTTTGCTAAGACACTGTGGTAGAAAAAGGGAATAAGGACTATAGAATGATGTTCAGGACCTAGGAGAGTTTTCCTTAAAAAAAATCTTGTACAGCTTGGCAGTGGTAGCGCAAGCCTATAATCTCAGCACTTAGAGGCAGAAGCCAGGGGATATCTGGGGGGGGATATCTGTGCATTCAAGGCTAGCCTGGTCTACAGAGGGAGTTCCAGGACTGGTGCGGGAGAATTATCTGTATTCTGTCAATCATATTTTAATAAAACGCTGAT